CTCTCCCTCTCTCTCCCTCTCCCTCTCCCTCTCTCTCCCTCTCTCTCTCTCTCTCTCCAAACCCAAAACACCGCATGGGTGCTTGGGCACAACCTCTTTGGCGTATACCAGCCAAAGCCTCTTGTGCATTCATGCTCATGACTGGCAAGGATAGGGAGGCCCAAGCTCGCGCTCTCCCTCTCTTCCTCCTGCATGCCAGGCAGGCTCCCTACCTCAGAGGTGCACACAGCTCTCCAGTCTCCCTTTCAAATTATACATTAGCATCGGCTGCAGCCACTGGCACTGCCACCCATTGGTCCCTCGGGACCTTTTCTTCAAAGAAGGAAGGAATTAAAAGTATCTCACATTTAATTAAAAAAGATCGTGGCTTTTAGGGCTTTGGGTGTCTCTTTGGTCAAGGGCAAGCTTTGCTGCATTGCCAGCTATACCTCAGGTCTAAAACTATTCCAGCTCTTTTGTAAAATTCAGTCACAGCTAACCTCAGTAGTACCTGTACCGTCAAACCCGAGTTCAGAATGACCATCCCTGAGTCCTGTCCTCTCCCTGGCCAGGTGACCCTGTCACTGACAGCGAAGCGGATGGCCAAGAAGAACTGCCTGGTGAAGAACCTGGAGGCAGTGGAGACACTGGGCTCCACCTCCATCATCTGCTCAGACAAGACGGGGACGCTGACCCAGAACAGGATGACGGTGGCACATCTGTGGTTCGACAGTCAGATCTTCATGGCTGACACAAGCGAGAACCAAACAGGTGAGTTTTCTGGAGCCTTCGTTCTGGCCCAAATCCTGGCTGAGTGGCAGCGCACTGTGGGGAGGGTGATTCAGGCATGGTAACCCAGCACCCACAGCACCACTGTCCTTTCTCTCTACTCCAGACCAAGCCTTTGACCAAAGCTCCGGAACCTGGGCCTCCTTATCCAAGATAATAGCACTGTGTAACCGAGCTGAGTTCAGGCCAGGACAGGAAAGCGTCCCCATCATGAAGGTAAGGTGACTGTGTCGCTTAGTCTTATATCTCAGCCACGTGAGGTTACTCTGTGTTCTACTTGAGTGATTTAATCTTTCCAACAGTGGAAAATTTCTACTAGTAAGAGCAGTGTGACTCAAGTGCATACAGAAGGTTGTCTTCACTCCAGCTTCCTTTGAGAAATCTCAGAGGTGCTTAGCTGATCTCAGAATATGGGGTTTGCTTGTTCCTTTGTTTCTTTGTCTGTTTTTCTGAGACAGGATCTCACTATGTTGTTCAGGCTGGCCTTGAGCTCAGCTTGTAATCTGGGCTGACCTCAGACTTGCAGTGATCCTGCCTCAGCCTCCTGAGTGCTGGGATTACAAGGTGTGTGTGCCACCACACCTGGCCCAGGATCTCAGAATACTGACTTGGGTTCTTTTGAAAATTCTGTCACATTCTAGAAAGTAAATGTGCCTTTAAGTTACTTTCCCCCCAAGTGGGTATAATAAAAGTTTATTACAAGTGAAGTTTAAAACTGGATGGAAATAAAGGGATCAATCTTAGCACATGTTCCCTTTGAATAAAATGTAGCAGGAGATGGGGTCTGAGAGGTCCTGAAATAGTGGGCTACTCAATAAACTTTCCACCTCCTCCTCCTTCTCTTCTGTCTTTTCCTTCTCACTCTGTCGTCCCCTCCCCTGCTCTCTCTATTCTTCTCTGTCTCAAGAAGACACTGAATGTTCTCCAGACTTTTGCCGTTGCCACTAGCTTTTCCACTGACCCTTCCTCTTTCTTACATTTTTTGTGCACTTGTTTTTCTTTTGCTATTAGAAAGCTCATTGATGCTCCCAGCCAGTTGCTTCCATGTCAGTGCCTTTCACATTTTTCTGTTTGTTTGTTTTTCGTTTTTCTTCCGGTACCAGAAATCGAACTCACGGCCTTGCCAGGCAGGCGCTTTGCCACTGAGCTAAATTCCCAGCCCCACCTTTCACATTTGTATGTCTAGTTCTGACTGCTCACCCAAGCCCCAGTGTGGACCAACAGCCCTGTGTACCCTCTTGGAAGTTCCACCGCACAGCCTGAGAGCAGATGTTCTCTGTCACCTTCTGCCTGTGCCTAGCCTGACTTCCAGTCAGTATCTTGTCCCAAATGTTGGGGTCTTCTATGGCATAAGCATTCTTCTTGTCATCTACTCAGTGATTTTGGAAGTCATCTTTGTCTTCCTCCTTTCCTGATAATTATCAGTGAGCCAAGTCCTATCACTCTGGCTTCAAAATATACATAATTTTACATTTGTATTATTACCAATACCTTGCAACTAAGGTATTAAAGAAGCAACCTCCTCATTGGCCTCTTTGACCCTGGTTTATCCCTCCCCTAATTTTCCAGAATTACTGATTCCATCTCCACCTAATTTTGCTTAAAAATCCCTGTGATTCTCTATTTTCTGCTTCCTGGGTCTAGACCTTAGCCCACCTGTTAGAGACCTCAAAACTTACACACCCTCCACATCCACCTGTATTTCCAGCACTCGTAATGGAACCCTCCACGTCTCTGTTCATGTTATTCTGGTTTCTAGAAGGCTTTCTTCAGCCCCATTCTTGGTTGGCTCCTGTCTTAATTCAGCGCGGAGGAACCTTGTTCTTATGTAGCTCTCACTTATTTGAGCTGGTAGGTGGCCGGATTGTTTACACTCTGGCCCTGACTCAGGCACTAGTGGTCCTGTGACAGCCTTGTCTCCCAGGTTGTGTACTGCAAATATTTATCCCATTTGATTTCCAGAAAGTTGTGGTTGGCGATGCATCAGAAACTGCTCTTTTGAAATTCTCTGAGGTCGTTTTGGGTGATGTGATGGAAATAAGAAAAAGAAACCGCAAAGTAGCTGAAATCCCTTTTAACTCTACTAACAAATTTCAGGTGAGTTCTTCCTCACAACTGGCTGCCTCTTTCATCACTGAAACACTTCTGCCTGCACATATCCACTGATTAGCCCAGAACTTGAATGATTCCTGGCCTTAGAAATAGTCCTTGACAGATGCAGGGCCTGGGCATCTGGTAAACCCAGATTGACTTTTCCTTGTTTCCCTTGTTGTTTCTTGCTTTCCCTGAGGAGCAGGGTAAGAAAAGGTTAAGAGCTTTCCATGGCCCGATTCTCCTATGAACCATCTGTACATATTACAGACACACACAAACTCACACACCACCACCACCACCTGGTAACTTGTGTGAAAGCGCTGAGCACGGCCGCATACAAAGGATAAATGAGAGGTGGGAGAAGTGAGAAGAACTAACATTTATTGCCCACTGAGTACAGTTGGGCCTCCATACCCTCCAGTTCCACCATAGATGTAACCAACTGGGGATCAAAAATATTTGGGAAAAAAATAATTGTATCTGCTCTAAACATGTACAAACTATTCTTATTATTCCATGAACTAAACATTATAATAACTATTTGCCTAGCATCAATGTTTTATTAGGTGGCATAAGTCCTGTAAAGGGGACTGCAAGATTATGGGTGGACATGTGTAGGTTCCATGCAAAAACTATGTTATTTCATATAAGGGACTTGAATTTTGATATCCTCTCAAGTCCTGAAGCCAGTCTCCTGAGTATATCAAAAAACAACTGTGTATATCAGACACTTTACCTACATTTCTCATTTAATTCTCACAACAGGCCCATGAGGTAGAACCAATGAATTACAATTCATAGATAAGGCAAATTCTTGAGTCCAGAGTGCACACGTTCTACTGCACAGAAGTAGAACAGTTCGGTCTGACAATGTGAGGAAGACAAGTCTCTCAGATGATCAGTCACACTGTTTTCCTTGCTCACCCCTGGATCCATTGGTAGAGCTCACCTTTCACCCACTGCTCAGGAAGAACATGACCAGCCCTGCCCTGTCTCTCCCATCACTCCGGGGGTGGCCAGTAGTTGCTCATCTCCATCCTCCTTGTATTCCAGTGAACAGCAGTTTACAGCCGAAGGCCCTATTGTAGATGGGGTTTTCCCAGAGATCCAGGGGTCATAACTTGGGCTTTGCATAACAGTAAAGTACAGTCATGTGTTGCTTAAAATTGAGGATACTTTTAAGGAAGGTGTTGTTAGGTGGTTTCATCATTGTGCACACATCACAGAGTGTATCTACCTGAGCCTAGATGGCTCATCCCACTACTGGTATCACTTATAGGTGGTATAGTCAGGTGTTCCTAAGCTACAAACTTGTTTAACCTGTTACCATACTGAGTACTGTAGACACATGTGATATAACGGTATGTTTACACCTAAATGTATCTGAGACAGCGTAGAAAAGGTACAGTAAAAATACTAGGCATTATTGTCAGCTACACTATAATTTTATGAGACCATCACCATATATATGATCCACCCTTGATCAAAAAATCATTATACAATGTACATCTGTATAAAAAGAGAATAACCATGTACAAGGATATTTCTAGCGATTATCCATTTGTCTTGGTTTAGATCAAATTTAGGATTAGTGAACAGCTATTATGTTCAAACATCTTCTTTGTGGATAATGAATCACTAAAGAGTTGTGGTTAGCTACATAGGCAATTAATAAAAATATATGATGTAAAATTGTAAAGCAAGGGAGTTTGGCCTGGTGGTTCATTCCTGTAATCTGAGCATTCCAGGAAATGGAGGCAAGAGGATAACAAGTTCAAACCCAGCATGGCCAATTTAGCAACTTGGTGAGACTCAAAATTTCAAAAGGGCTAAGGATGTAGGGCCTGGGTTCAGTCGGTAGTACAGAGTCATTCTGAAGGGCCTGGGTTCAATCTGCAGTACAAAAGTATATACATGTTTGAAGCCAGGAAATCAGATATCTTATCTGAAACATAACTCAAGATAGAATGAACAACAATTCTAAAATGACAGTCGCAGAATAACTACTACTATTAGCTCTTCTGAGCTAATTTCCATATACATGAAATCATTCCTTCTTGCAATGACTGTAAAGCAGGTGGAGATGGGGAATTGAGGTGTACAAGGTGATATACACCCGTGAGGGCCAGAACCAGGACTCAGATGGAGCAGAAAGTCAGCACTAGTAGAACCTGGGCTGATAGGCCGCAAGTAGGAGCAGGACTCGGAATGTTGCTAAGGTGCCATCTATCATGACAGAGGCATTTCTTGCCCTGTGAGAAGTGAGAGAAGGCAGGTTCTGTGGCCCTCCTATGGGCAAAAGTGAGCTGCACAAACTTGGGGCCAGATGTGGGGAGCAGGCCTATATGAGCCCTCACCAAAGAAGTCAAAGGTGCTGTTGAAGGAGGAATGGAACCCAAGAGTAGAATGCTTAGCTACTATAGGAGGTTGTGCATTCAATCCCCGGCACTGCAAAAAGAACTTCCTTGGATGCTATTAGGGCCACTTTATTTTTATGCATAAGCAACACCCTACTTAAACAGGGCTTTAGAAGTCATGGCTTTGGAGGTCTGTGTGTATCAGTCAGTAGAAGAAAAAGATAAGTGGAAAGTCCATGCTTTATTAGTTTTAAAATAGCAGTGCCCAGAAAGATTATACATGAAAATACTTAAAACTGATTACAGCAAGCTGGTAGTGGTGGCACACACCTGTAATCCCAGCTATTTGGAAGGCTGAAGCAGGAGGGCTGCAATTTCAAAGTTTGCCTGGGCAACTTAGCAAGACCTTGCCTCAAAAAAAAGGATGTGATGTAGCTCAGTGTAGAGCACTTGCTCAGTGTTTGAGAGGCCTTTGGACTGAACCTCAGCACTGCAACAAAACAAAACAAAACAAAACAAAAAAACCCAGGTAAATACAATAAAATAGTTTATGGGAAATTGGAAAATTAGGACAATGCTTCATAAAGTTTTACCCAAAGTTTATGCTGTTAGTAATTCAAGTCCACAGATAAGTAATTTTTGAAAAACATGAAAACAAAAATCAGTTTCCTTCCCTCTTTCTTTCTCGGTACTGGGAGTTGAACTTGGGGCTTTTGCCCTGAGCGTTTTGGTTTTTTTGTTTTGTTTTGTTTTGCTTTTAGCAGAGTCTCACTTAATTTACTACTGCTTCAGCTTCCCGGAGTGCTGGGATTACAGGCATGTACCACCATGCCCAGCAATAACCAGTTACTGTTTGAAATTCAAGCTCCACAAATGTCCCTCTAATCTTTTCTTGTTAATCGGCAGAAGAGAGAGAGAGAGAGAGAGAGAGAGAGAGAGAGAGAGAGAGAGAGAGAGAGAGAGAGAAAAGACATACCTGGGGATGTCAGAGTTCCTCCTCCTCCCTTACACCTCACGCACAAGTGGAGAGAAACGAATGTGTTCCCTTTCTTGTCCTGTTGCCAGTTGGAAGAGCCGTGGTAAACATAATGTATCTAACATGCCCTGTTGATGCCTCCCAGCTGTCCATACATGAGACAGAAGACCCTGAAGACAAGCGCTTCCTCGTGGTGATGAAGGGGGCCCCAGAGAGGATCTTAGAGAAGTGCAGCACCATCATGATCCATGGCCAGGAGCAGCCGCTGGACAAGAGCAGCGCCAACGCCTTCCACACAGCCTACATGGAGCTGGGTGGCCTGGGCGAGCGCGTGTTAGGTGAGTGGCAGCAGAACCCCTGCCCGTCTTCTGGGAGGCAGGGATGATGAGGCCTCAGGAGCTGAGAGAGTAGCGATGGTGTCACATGAATCGTAAAAAATATGAGGGGTTGGGAATGTATCTAGGTGACAGAGGAATTGCCTAGCATGTGCAAGGATATAGGTTAGAGTCCCAGCACTGAAAAAAATATATATGATAAACAGGATGGAAACATACAAAAGGATGCAACATGATAGCACCGGGAAGAATGGGGTTGCTTCTAGACAAGGAAAATCAAAGACTTCAGAGAAGGAGTCACATTTTACAATGACCCTTGAATGGCAGCACTGGAAGGGAAATGGGGTGAAGGTATTCATGTACAGGGGACCACGCAGGCCAGCTGGAAAGGGATGGGGCGTATGCACACAGGGTGCAGTGAGCCAGCCCGTGCCAAGTGTTGCAGGGTAGGTGAGATGGTGTATGTGGGAAGCAGGGCCACAGACACAAACTGGAGGTCATGGTGTGGAGGGCTTGAATACATGATTGAGGAACTGGAGTGTTGTCCTTCTGCAGGAGAGCACACTGGAGGCTTTGCAGCAAGAGTGAACTGGTCAGAGTTACGGTGTTCGTTAAGCGTAGTCCTGGTAGCAGCAAGGAGAGGAGAGGCATGGGACTCAGTTGGAGGTGGCCGTCCTCATTTGGCTGAATTTGATGCAAGGTGATATGAGTGTGAAGGATGGGTCAGGTGCAAGTTTCATAATGGCAAAGTGAGTTAGCAACTGATTAAAGAAAAATAGTGAATTTAAAAAATGATTAAGCTTCCCATGTCATGAGTTGGGAAAAGTAATGCCAGTAACAGACGGGACATAAGCCTTAGAAATACAAACACTGTGGTAACTGAAGTGGTCTCACAGGTGACAGTGTGTTCCATTGTCAAAATCATGGGTCAACAGAAAAACACCAGTTCAGAACTACAGGGTGATGAATTAAAGAAAACAGCTCAACCACTGAGCTATATCTTCTCGTGGTCAATGATAAGGCTCATTAAACACCATCAAAGCTCTTGCCAGTAGACATGGAATCCACGGAATGCGTGTTTATAAAGGATATTTGAGTTTGTAAAACACAAAATTGTACAAATGAGATGCTAATGATATAAGCATGCCCTAAGTAACCCAAGCACCAGGTAATCTCCTTTTCAACACAGGATTGGTCCCCATCTGGTTAGAATGGCTCCAGAAACCTTGAGTTTGATATTTGAAAGTCTTTCTTACTGAAATGTGTAATGCACCAAACCATGCTGAGAATTAATTTGATGTAAAAGCTGATAAGAGGGTCAGGTTCCACCAGACACGGGCATGCCTTCTCCCTCAACCTGGCTGATGTCTGGGAGGAGAGAATGGCTTTGCCCCATTCTTATGGTCTTGCTCATATGCGTATACTGATTAAGGAGTGAAATTTTACCACTGGCCAGGTGGAAAACACACCTGGAAAACACACCTCTCTCACATGTGACCTCCCTGTGAAAGTCTCACCCAACTCTCCAGGTAGCTGAAGTATAGCTTCACCCTGCAGTTTGTACCATATTTTTTATGCTTGTTTGCTGTAGCTCTCAGTCCCACCACAAAACAGGAACATGTTCAGAAGTAAAGGCTTACACTTTATTTACCTTAGTCTTTATATATACAGAACCTGATGAGCATAATACATTATTTTGCATAAAATATATCTTTTCCTTAAAAAAGCATATATTGTGGAATTGAAGGAGTTAAACAATTCTGATACAGGCTAATGCGCTGGTAAAACAAAAAATAGTAAAGGACTGAAATTTTCATTTACTCACTCACTCATTCATCCATTCATTCACTTATTTTTGGTGCTGGGGATTGAATTTAGGGCCCATGAATGCTAAGCACCTGCTCAACCACTGAGCTATATCTTCTTTACTTTTGTCATTGCTTGTCCTAGTTTCATTGATCCGCAAATTCATACCCATTACAGGTTTCTGTCATCTCTACCTGCCAGCAGACAAGTTTCCAGAAAGCTATTCATTTGATGTGGACACCATGAACTTTCCCACTTCCAACTACTGCTTTGTGGGGCTTCTGTCAATGATTGACCCCCCTCGGTCCACCGTGCCAGATGCAGTTGCCAAATGCCGGAGTGCAGGAATCAAGGTGGGACTTATTTTCCTGACTTAGGAAGCCTTCAGTTAGGTTGCATGTCTTGCTAAGAACATTGGTCATAAAACACAAAGAGTACTTAGGCTGTTCAAGTAAATATCATAGTTGCCTTTGTAGCTCTACTTTCACTATGCTAAGATTTCAATAACTGACCTGTAAAAGTGAAAAAATTGTGTCTCTGTGGGATGAACCACAATAGTAACTACAGTGAAAATCTCACAGTGCTATGAATTGACCATATCTTACCCTAGGCTACGGGAGATAATACAGTGTTATTACTTAATCTTGAGGTTCAGCCTCCATCATCTATTTATCTTCATGATATTAAAACCAAAACATGAGTGTTCAATACCATGTTGATATCGAACATGGTTGAAGCAACATGGGCCTGCCTCGGGTGTACACCTATAGGCCCTTTCACAAATAAAGTGACGTCAAAGTAGAGGAGCTTCCTCTAGAGTCAGAGGAGGAAATGTAAGAAGCCTAGGAGCAAGGGTAGACCCGCTGGAACCAGTGTATCCTTCATGACAGCTAGGTCTTAGATCCAGAATTTCCTGTAAGGCAAAGGGCAGCAGCCACAGATGATGTTCTGCCAGGTCCTGATGCTAAACTATTATCCTTGCTGCCACTAGCTGGGTTCCTCGTGTCTATAAGTCCTTGTCATCTGTGCTCTAGGTCATTATGGTTACAGGAGATCATCCCATCACAGCCAAAGCTATCGCCAAGAGTGTGGGGATCATCTCAGCCAACAGCGAGACAGTGGAAGACATTGCCAAACGCTGTAATATTGCTGTGGAGCAAGTTAACAAACAGTAAGCACAGAACCAATGTAGCAGAAACTCAAGTTCTCTTCCAGCTAAAGAGCTGTACTGTGGAACAGATCACCTTTTTGTCCCACATTCTCTCAGGGTAATGCTTGGTTGGTTTGACCTATACAAAGTAATTTACATACTTAGTCATTCACTCAAAAGTTTACCGAGTACCTAATACATGCTGAACACTGTATCAGTGCCATGACAATAACTCTATGTGTTGCTCACCTGAAATGTTGAAATCCAATAAGTTCAGTGATATATAGCTTCACAACAAGGAAATGTTCTAAGAAATGAAGTTCCATCATTGTGTGAGCATGATTAACTATATTTACATAAACCAAAGTAGCTATAACATTACCAGGTGGCAACATCTTACAGGATTTCTGTCAGGGAGTGAAAAGTCATGTGGCACAGGACAGTAGATCTGAAAACCTGTGTGCTCCATTTAAAGAAAAACTAAACAAAAGGTTTATATACAAATCACTTGCCATTGATCCAGTTCTATGATCAGGAATATTAAGAACCCCTTGGGTTTCACGCACCACCACATCCAATGGGAATCTTAGACACTTCGCTATGGAGTCATTTGGCTTCATAATGTGTAGCTATGTAAATATACCCTTTCTATTTGGTAGTAAATAGATGGAAGCTTCCTAAGGAAAGTTTTTTTTTCTTCTTTCTTCTAATTATTTTAATAATTCACCCATCCATTCATTCATCAGTTAATTATTTTAACAGTTACTTTTTAAGGGCTAACTATATGCCAGGCACATGTACTGTGACAGAAAACGGAACAGATACTGTTGTCATGCTTGGGAAGCTTTCTATGTAGCTAGGAAGTCAGGAAAGACAACTAATTGTGATGTGGTCCATACAATGAAGGGGACAGCAGCCTGGATTGTGAAAGGTATGAGTGAATCAAAGGCTGCAGAATCTCAGGTTGCAAAGAAAGGTCACCAGCTGGATTGTATAGTTTTTGTTTGATTTGGTTTTTGTTGTTGTTGTTTTTACGGAGCGGGGTTGGTTTGGTTTTTCTCATAATAGAAATTGAATTCGGAGGGGCTGGGGATTTAGCTCAGTGGCAAAAGTGCTTGCCTGGCAAGCGCAAGGTCGTGAGTTCGGTTCCTGGTACCGGAGAAAAACCAAAAAAAAAAAAAAAAAAAAAAAAAAAAAAAAGAAATTGAATTCGGAGCCTCACATAGACAAGTGCTTCACCACTGAGCTACACCTCCAGCCCCTTTTATTTCAAGACAGGGTCTTGCTAAGTTTCCCTAGATGGCCTTGAATTTGTGATCCCTCTGCATAAGCCTCCCAAGGAGCTGAAAATACTGGCATGTACCAACCACCTCATCTGGTTTGGATTCTACTTTCATGCCACTTTGTCTGCTTTTGACTTTCCTTTCTATTTTATCCAGGCACTTATACCTTTTGGGAACACAGAGCTGGCAGTTAGCTAATGAATTATCACTAAGCAGGAAATTACCACGGAAGGTAGCCAACCACAAGATAGCCCTGGACACCGTAGCAAGTCTGAGGTCTGAGTCTCCAGCCCCATTTTGTATAAATGACATCCCTCTGTAAAAAACAGGTTGGGGGTTTGTTTGTTTGGTTGGTTTTAAAAAAAAAAAAAGTAGGACTATACATTCCTTGCACTTTATCACACTGAATAGGAGCATGAAGTGGACAACTCTGTGATTGCTGATTGTTCTCACTGACCCACTTTTCAGCTCTGGCTTCATGACTGTATAAGAATACATCCTGCAGCTGTACCAGGAAAGGAAGCACCTTTTTCTTCTCATCATACTTTGGTGGCTTTTACTAGCAGTTAGAAATATCTGCAGTTTGAGACAAGTGCTAGAATTCTAGCATTTAGCACTGTCTTGGTTACTTTTCTCCGTTGCTGGGACAAAGTACTTGATGCCCAAAATTAAGGAAGGAAAGGTTTATTTTGCTTGCAGTTTGTGGAGTTTTCAGTCCATACTTGGCAGGTTACAAGGCAGACTGGCACATGGCAGAGGGCTACAGCTCATGGCGGCAGAACACAGCAAAAGCAACAAACACAAAAGGGAGGAATGGCGGCAAGCAGCCTCTTCCTCTCCCTTACATACGCAAACTATCCACCCCAGAGCGGGTATAGCTCTCACACCCATAATCAATCAAACTCTAAAAGCCTGCCCCATGACCGCATGAGGCTTTAGGGGGGACACCCAGACACAAACCATAACAAGCACCAAGAAGAAAAACAACATAAAAAGTTCAAAACGTACAACACAAAAAGAACAAGGTATGCAGTGATTTGTACTAGCAGTATGTAAGCTGAGGTTTGGAGGCTGAAATGTATAGTATTTGTCCAAGGAAGCTGAGGTGAGAGACGGACGTGTATTCCTGGCAAGGGAGAACTTGCAGGCCTTATGGGGGAGGGTGTCTCAGAAACAGCTGAGACCAGTGAGCTGGATGGAGAGCCCAGGAGGAGGTAAAGTTCAACAGCTCAGACCATGTCTGACCTTACAGGCCTCACTTGGTCCTGCTGCCAAACCAAGTTAGGGATCCCTGGGTCTGCTTGGAGCACAGTGGCAAGCCCCTGAGGAGTGGCTCAGTCAGATCCGCACAATCAAGAATCCCTAGAACCCTACTTTAATAATGAGCAAAAATAATCTTGCTCAGGAAAGATTCCAACAAACCTTTCTCCCTAAAGAACATATGGTACGTAGACTTTTGGAAACCTAAAATAAATAAATAACATCAAAGAATTATTACTTATATCTGTTGGCATAAGGGAATTCTGGGACCCAGAACATATGAATAGGCAATTTGATTTGATCTTGATTTGTTGTTTTGGTGGAACTGGGGATTGAACTCAGGGCCGTCATGCTGAGCTACATCTTCAGCCCTTTTATTTTTTACTTTGAGGCAGGGTCTCCAGCTGGTGACCCTCCTGCCTCAACCTCACAGAAGTCTGGGATCACAGGTGTGCAACACTGCTCAGCTGTTGTTTTTTTTTTGTTGTTGTTGTTGCTTTTGTTTTTGGTCCTGCTGGGGATTGAACCCAAGATGTTGTACATGCCGGCAAGTACTGTACCACTGAGCTACATCCCCAGCCCCAAGCAGTCTGTTTTTACCCTACTTTTGCTTGTGAAGTAAAGCACTGCCCAAAGGAAACACACACTGCTTACTCATTCCTGGAAGGGAAAAGCTACTTGGCATTTTTTTCCCTATTACTACAGGACCTTAACTTTTAGCCTCAGTTTAGTGTCTTGAAATGGGGACTAGAATGTCTTTACTACCTATAGCCACTGAGATCTCACCAGAGTATCAAATGTCAAGGACATTGTGTTCTGGATAAAGCCAAAAAGATTCTTGCCCGCACCTTGCTCAGAACAGTGTTTCAACCTAAGATCTGGCCCTGGGCTTCATCCCGTTTCTTCTGGTCCTTTCAGGGATGCTAGAGCTGCTGTGGTGACTGGCATGGAGCTGAAAGACATGACTCCGGAACAGCTGGACGAGATCTTAGCCAACTACCCAGAAATTGTCTTTGCCCGGACATCCCCCCAGCAGAAACTGATCATCGTAGAGGGCTGTCAGAGGCAGGTAAGTGGAGGGAAGTGCTCAGATGACTGACCAGGCCTGTCTCTAAATATATGAAGACATTAGATACATTCATACCTTGGAATCCACAGAGGCTTTGTTCTGGGAATCCCCAAGGATACCAAAATCTATGGATGTTTGAATCCCTTCTGTAAGACGAGGTAGTATTTGCATAGAACCTACATATGTCACAACCAGTGGCCCTTGTACCTGTTTAACCCCATTTTTTCACTGGATACTCACAGGACGCAGTTGTTGCTGTGACAGGGGATGGAGTGAATGACTCTCCAGCCCTAAAGAAAGCAGACATTGGGATTGCCATGGGGATAGCAGGTTCTGATGCTGCTAAAAATGCAGCTGACATGGTCTTGCTGGATGACAATTTTGCATCTATTGTCACAGGAGTCGAGGAAGGTGAGTAGGGACTCAAGCTGTCTTCCCAAATGCCAGAGTTGCCTTGGGGGGATAAACAAGTCCTATAAAGAGACACATCTTTGCCTAGGTCGCCTGATCTTTGACAATCTAAAGAAGACCATTGCATACACCCTGACCAAGAACATTGCCGAACTTTGCCCCTTCTTGATCTACATAATGGTTGGGCTCCCCCTGCCCATTGGCACCATTACCATCCTGTTCATCGACCTGGGCACAGATATAGTAAGTGGCACAAGAGGGAACCGTCTGATACCCACTCTGGGGGCTACATGAAGCTTTATATGTTCCGAGTTGTTATCATCAAGGGCTGTGAGATAGCCAGAGTCAGTGCTTCTCAAACATCCACACCGTGAGGTGGGGCCTAAAGTGCTGCAGTTTTAACAAGCTTCCAGGTGATTCCACTTCCACTTCTCCACAGACTACACTTCAAAGCAAGGGCTAGAGGCTGTGTCAAGGGTTTGGAAATTAAAACTACTCCATGTAGAGCTTTTCAGAATATGAGTCTTGAAGCTGGGCTGTAGCTCAGTGGCAGAGTGCTTGGGTTCAATTCCCAGCACTGAAAAAAGGACATGACTCTTTACCTCTCAGAAAAGTATACCAGTGGTCAGTTTTAGCCCATGTGCCTCCTTATTGTTTGGAGAAGATGAAGTAATTATCCAAATAGTCCATGTGCTTCTGGGACACAGTGGCCCAAGTACTAACCCTACAATCACCCAGTCAGAGAATCTGATCTGGAAGCCACTTACCTAACCACAGTACAAAATAGCAGCTATTAAGGCTTACAAAGCCCTGTCCTACAATAACATCATCCAGACCTCTCTTCTTCTACCTACAATAACATCATCCAAATCTCTCTTCTAGTAACCCCTCTTGCCCTTAAGGAAGCCCCATGTGCCTGTGGCTTACCCGTGCCCAGGGGAAGTAAGCTAAATCAGCATGAACATAGTCCTACAGAGCACCTTCTTGTTCTCTCTTGTTTGATGCAACACCCAGTATATTCCTTGCATTAGGGGGAGACTAGGCATGTCTTAACCTCTGAGGGGAATTGAGGTCCCCACAGAAGACAGGTAACTTTCCCAGCCTTTTAAATTTGCTCATTTTTTCCACTTTAGTAGTTCTCCAAGTGTGGAATTTGTTAGAAATGCAAAGTCTCTGGCCCCTGTCCAGACTTCCCAGACCAGGAAGTCTGGTGGTAAGGCCTAGGAATCTGACTCGTAAAGGTCCTCTTGATGGCAGGATGGAAGAGAGGACACTGTTCTACTACATTGCTTTGAGATCCAACTGTACCCCAAAGGGGGAAGGTTGGTATGAGAAACACTCCGTGGAGGAGATAGGTGTTTTATAATAAGCATTATTAAAAAGATTGATTTCTCTTTTTCTCCCCCTCATGGTCCTGAGCATTGAATCCAGGGCCCCATGTACACCAGGCAAGTGCTCTGTCACTGAGCTCTGTCTCCAACCCATAAGCAGCTTGATTTTTATTGCAGCTCCTAAATTCCACATAGTGCACCCCCTGTTGCTTACACTCTGGAAGGACCAGTTCCCCACCCCCACCACCCCTACTGCCATCCAGCAGCTCCCCACTCCCCGCCTCTGCTGGGCTGAGGCTGTCTGCATCGCTGCAGGCAGACTGAGCACCAGGCTCAGGCGTCACAGCCCTGTGTCTCTCTAGATCCCGTCCATCGCCTTGGCGTATGAGAAAGCTGAAAGTGACATCATGAACAGGAAGCCGCGCCACAAGAAGAAGGACAGACTGGTGAACCAGCAGCTTGCTGTCTACTCTTACCTGCACATTGGTATGATGAAGGCACCCTTCCCTGGAAATGTTTCCCTTTTGAGAGTAGGCATGGGGTGGCAGGAGGGACTGGGAGGAGTCCCAGGACAGTGAGGTGGTTCTCTGAGGCTGCCACAGAGCCTGACCATGTCTCTCAACCTTCTAGGCCTCATGCAGGCCCTGGGAGCTTTCCTCGTGTATTTCACCGTCTACGCACAGCAGGGCTTTTGGCCCACTTCCCTCCTTCACCTGCGGGTATACTGGGAAGATGATGATGTGAATGACTTGGAAGACAGCTATGGTCAGGAGTGGGTGAGTCGGGAGCTCTGGGGCCAGCGTCTCGTGGTTCTTGTCCTTTGCTCTCACTATCCAACCTAGAAGGATACAGAACCTTCATTTTCCTAAACAACATTGATGAGGCCCCTAAAAGCATCTCAGCTAATGGGCTGGGGGTGTCCTTGGTGACCCTTGTTCAGCCTTCGCCAGGATGCAGTCTCATCTCTCAAACTAGACCCTAAGAGTTCCCCTTTTTACATTACCTTTGCCATTGATGTGGAAGTGAAACGAGTCCGAAAATGCCCACAGTTGGACCGAATAATTAGCATGTTCCCTACTCACCTGTCTTAAGGAAATAGATCCTTCTTTCCAAACACAAGGAGGTGGTTCACCCTCAATCTGGTGAGGGGATCAGCTTTACAGAACAACACTGAAATCTCCCTGGAATTCTTCCCCAGGTCTCATGGTCTCATCTTTCATGTCCATTCACAGACAAGGTACCAGAGGGAATACCTTGAGTGGACAGGCTACACAGCCTTCTTTGTTGGCATCATGGTTCAGCAGATAGCAGATCTGATCATCAGGAAAACCCGGAGGAATTCCATCTTCCAGCAGGGTCTCTTCAGGTACTTCCTATGTCTGATTTCATGGCTTATGGGCCACCGTGCCAGAATGCAGGAGGCTGATTCTTTGTAGGACCTACCTGTAGCTACACCCATGACACAGGAGGCATCAACTGACTCCACTGGTGGCACAGTGTGCTGGGTGCATGACTATGAAACCACTGAAACTTAGAGTCTGTTCACTTTTGTATGTGTTACAGAAATAAAGTTATCTGGGTGGGGATTGCCTCCCAGATCATCGTTGCCCTGATTCTCTCCTATGGCCTTGGGAGTGTCACCGCCCTGAATTTCACCATGCTCAGGTGAGTTCACTTTCTCAGCCTGGAGGGAAGATACAGCCCCTGTTCTCAGCTGCAATGACCTAAATAAATATTAAGATTATTGCAAAGTCTTCCCCTTACGTCCTTCCAAAGAGGTCAGATTGATTCTGTGCTATGTGAGTCCAGCCTGACCTGCCCATTTCCCAAAAACAAGTGGGTTTCCCAGGTCCCACCAGGCCCTCTCTGTCCTCACCCGAAAGGTTGTTTGAAAGGCAGATATTGCTTCTAGCAGTCATAACCCAGTTTAAATTAGGAGCTCTGTGCTGTACAGCACAGCAAGTTTGTTGTGGTCTCCCTGCCTACAGGCCCAGGGCTGGCCTATCCCTCTGGACAAGCTAGGGCTCACCTTCCTCCCCTCTGCTTCTAGGGCTCAGTATTGGTTTGTGGCTGTCCCGCACGCCATCTTGATTTGGGTGTATGACGAAGGACGAAAACTGTTCATCAGGCTCTACCCTGGAAGTGAGTAGAAAGACATTTTTATGTGGTGCTGGGGGTGGAACCTAGGGCCTTGCACCTGTTAAGAAAGCGCTTTACCACTGTGATACAACCTCAGCCCAGAAATGTGATTTTTGAGGTTTTCTCTGCTACCTTCCATAGGCTCTCCATTTCTGATATACTTGTTTTTACCTCTACAGGTTGGTGGGATAAGAACATGTATTACTGAGACTATATCACTCCCTGGAAGATTTCTATGTAGTACAGACATCATCAAGAGAGATGTTCATACAGAAAATTATATGAGAGATATTTTGTACTTTAAAGCTGAGGTTTGACTGTTTATATAGAATTTTAATCTCTTGCTCCATTTCCTTATTTTAAAATATGTGAACCCCAAAGTAATGATGTAGAGAAGAATATGTTTATATGTATATAAAGCTCTCTGTTTTAAGTAATCTTGTATAACCCAAGTCCCTGCTGTGGTCTTTTTAAACTAAAATGGAACTGGTCAGATCTCACTTCCTCGTTCTAGTAAAGACCCAATGACCCGCTGATATTTCTGTGAATTTCCCCAAGGACATATATGTTCATAAGCACTTTGCTCATGAAAGGTCAGTGTACATCCCAGCAGCACCGACAACCTCAGTTTGAACTGAGACATCCTCGCTGTGACAGTTTCCCCCTCACGTCACATTATCCCATCTCCCACCACCTCCCCAGCGCTTTCGTGTCTCCTTTCCCATGTCACCCTCTACCTTAGCACCAGAGCCTCCAGCAAGAGGCTCCACGTCCCTCTTGCATACCCTAACTCAGAATTCTCAGCGTATCAGAGAGCCTTTCATTTATCAGGATCAAACTCAGCAGAATTGTTGTGGCTCAAATAGCTGCTGCTGCTGCTGTTGTTGTTGTTATTACTATTATTATTATTATTATTATTTTGGTAGTGCTGGGGATTAAACTCAGAGCCTTTACATGGAGCTACATCCCTACCCTTTTATTTAAATTCTGAAACAAAGTTTTGCTAAGTTGCCCAGGCTGGACTCCAACCTGTAGTCCTCCTGCCTCAGCTTCCCAAAGTGCTGGGATCACAGGTGTGCACCACCACATTGAGCTCAATAGTAATTGTAAAACAGCTGCCAAGCACTCTCCAGCAATAATTTTGTGTAAGTGTGTTGTAACTTAGGCATATTCATGAGTGACACCTACATCCATGTTGACCTGTGGAGAGGTTACCTTTTTTAAGTAAAATATGTTTTATAAAATCAGGTCTCATTGTGGTGTTCTAACAGAGTTTTTCTAAAATATAGAAATGAGATAAAGCCCTTTTATGTCCTTTTGCTTTTTCCCATTATTTTACCTCTCTGATGGTGTGGAAATGTCAGGTTTTGTCTCTGAACTCTTCCTCCACCGTGCTGTGCTCCAGGACTCTGTTAGGCAGCAATGCTTTAGAGAAAGTCATTTTCACCACCTTTCCCTCCACAACACATCCAGAACAAGCTGACTTGTTCAAAACTGAAAAATTCTATTTGGTTAAATTGTCTCAACTCAGTAACTTCTCCCTTTAGACTAGTACCTCTGGGTCAGTGAAAGGAAGACTGCGTGAAAGGAGGGCTGCTCTTTCCCCTGTAGGTACATAGAGTTACAATGTCTGGCATGTGTTGTATGTGTCAATTTAAGCTAAAATACGCTGCCATCCTGATGCTTTTTAATCTCTAGTTCAACCACGATTATGGGGCGAATCCCCCATCAGTAGTAGTTTAGCCACTAGAAACCTCTCCCAGGTAGTTTGGGCAGAGAGGCAGTGGCCCTGCGCCAGCCCTCAGGAGGAAGTTAACGCCTTAGAGGCTTCAGCTAAGAACTTGCCCTTCTCCTTTCTCCTGCCAAGCTGCCTGAGTGGTGCTGGCTGTGACGCTTGACAGCTCTTGGTCCTGCCAAAGCCAGTAGAAGGCTATCAGTATGTGGCACAAAGCCACAAGGTTTAACCTGGGGTAGGACTAAATTTGCAAGGATTTAGATTTGATGTGGAAGTCTCTTCACAGCAGCAACCATGTCTGGAATTACTTTTGTACTTGTAGTTACTGATTCTTGCAAAACATTGACAAATATTTGTAAAATGAACAAATAACTCATTTAAGGAGTCCCAGAAATGAGACTAGAATATCAAGTAGCTTTATAAAGCTGTAGTCAGAAAGAACAATAAAATCCTATCCCAGAGAGTTCGTTGGGCTTTGTTTTTATTTTTTGATGAAAGATAACCCTGAAAGACTGAAGATACCAAGGTAAGAGTAACTAGTTTTCAGGGTTTACAGAGACATGAGCACCAACTTTTATAACACGCAGCTCCTGGCCCTCTTCTGGAGAGGACCTAGAAGTCTCCAGCCATGGTCCTAAACCTAGGGCCACCTGGGACTCCTTAGAACCTCCTGAGACTGAGAGACTGCCCAAACAAAGCAGTTACCTTGTGGGAACCAAATTGCCTCTCAAACCATGAGCATTCCTCCTGAGCTGCAAAACCAGGACTGAATAATAATCGACCAGATCCCAGCCCACCATGGCACCCCATAAAACGGGTGCCACCCTTCAGGTGATCCGATCCTCTTTATCCAATGAGTATGCCCCCTCCAGCTGTTGAGGTTAGAGTCCTCCCCTATTCTCACTCTTCTTGTCAGCTCATGCTACAGTCCCTTACCACTGTCCCTTTCCTCCCACAAGCTCTTCTCCTATGAATTTGTGGCTTACTTTTAATTTCCATTATCACTAAAGCAAGGACTCAGGCTAGCATGACAGGAAGGCTACTTATTTGTCCTGTAAGGTCCAATATACTTCTTAGAAAAAAAATAAAGTTAATTTAAATCTAATTGGTATGGCAGAGTAGCTTAGAGATTTAAAAATGAGGCTAGATTCATGGGTTTTTTGCTTTTTAAAATAATCTTTTATCATGATTATAAAATTGCAGCACATTGAAGGAAATTTGGAGTTATGTACACATGCAGTTCCATTATTTGCAAGGTTGAGGCATGAAGACTCCAAGTTTGAGACCAGCCTAGGCAGCACAGTGAGAGATTATCTGAAAAGAAAGAAGGAAAACATTTACAATAAATTAAAATCACCCTAAATACCACTATCCAGTAACATACTTAAAGAATAGTTGGGTGCTGGGGATATAGTTCAGTGTTACAAGCATCTGCCTGGCAAGCACAAGGTCCTAAGTTCAATTCCTGGTACCAAAAAAAGAAAAAGAAGGCATAGTTGTTTCTTTGGCTTTGTATATTACACTCATGTCTAGGCAAAATTAAAATACAAAGGTTTCTATTCTGCCCTTTTTATTTTTTTTACCCTTTTATTTAACATTAAAAATTATGTTAGTGTGGCTAACAGTGTGGCTCAAGGTTGGAGCATTTGCCTAGGATGGAGATGGCCTTAGGAATCACCGGCACTGCAAAAAATAAAAGAAAGAAGATTCTGTTAATGACTAGACACTCTAAATTAAGAGTATATTAACTATATAAATGAAAATGGTGCAGTTTTTCCCTACTATTCAACTTGCTTTAAAAGGCTGCATCTTTGTCCCCAAATCTTATACCATATCTCTGATTTTGTTTTTTACTGATTTGTCAAAATCAAATTGAGGGATTAAATACCTTTTAAGGCTCTTGATATGTATTCAAGGTAAAGTACAATTTACATTCCCACAAGTAATAATAAAGGAGATGTTTATCTTGCCTGATATTAGGACTGGAAAGATCTGTCAACTAATACAGATTTTTATTTATTCAGCAAAGATGTAGGAGGTGCTTCTACAAAGCCTGAAAACACACCCAGGAGCAAGCCCCAGGTCAGGGCCTAAAGGGGCAGCACCACGGTAGAGCACGTGCCTAACACGAGCCAGCCTGGCTTGGATCTGCATCTCCACCGCTCCTAAAAGAGCAAAAACGACAGATCAAGGAGTCAGTGCTGCAGTGAAGAGGCACACAGGACTCACAAAGTGATAACGGGTTTGAAATGACCGAGCAGTTACACATGACAGTTACAGAAAGTGGTGACCATGGCGAGCTTATTTAAATAGTGTGGTTAATAAAGCCCTTCTTGGGGAGACAGGAGCAAAGAGAATTCCAAGATGAGGGGAGGTATCTTAGTCACTTTCCTGTCACTGAGTCACAATACCCAGCACCCACAACTTGAAGGAAGAAAGGTGCATTACTTTGACTCATGGTTTCAGAAGTTTTAGACCATGGTTAGTAGGCTCGAACATAGAAATAGCGCGGTGGAAGGGCCTGCCCCAGAAGAAAGCTGCTCAAGTCGCAGTGGCCAGAAAGCAGAGAAAGAAGGGAGGAGCCAGGGAGGGAGACATAGCCTTCCAGGTCACACACCCAGGCCAAGCCTCTGACAACCAGGCCCTACCTCATAACAGCGCACTCAGGCTGCTGAACTCACCAGGGGCTCAAGCCACCGAAGCATATAGTGCCTCATGACCCGTTCACCTTCCAAACACTGCAGATCTAAGTGGTAACAGGAAGTATGTGAATTAGCTCTGGGAGGGAGCACACGACCCAGCAGGGTCAGGGACAGCAACAGGGAGCTGGAGAGTATGGAGTAACATATTCTACAGTGTCTCAGGGATAATGTGATGAGGTCAGAGTTCAGTAAAAAAAAAAAACAAACAGCCTATTTAATGATTTCCAAAGGCAGGGTCCTGACCTAGCTGTGTATCAAGATTCCTTTGGCCTTTCTGTAAAGGATGGTAGAAGGACCCTGAGGATGAAAGGAGGGGTGAGTTCATTAGCCAGAATAGCTGCAACTTGGACTAAGTGGGGAGCTAAGTGTGTGGGACCAACAGGGGTAGATCCCAGCTCAGTGAGCACACACGTGAGCATGCTTGTGTGCCCACCCATGCCTTCAACCGTATGCCGGTAGAGTAATTCTGTAAGGGAGGTCACCTGTAGATGACTCGGGACTTACATGTCCAACTCAGTCCCCCCAAAAGGCCACCAACCATCTTGACTGACTACGTCATCACATTCATGTCACAGAGAAATGAGGCAACTTGTCCTGAACTCTCTGCTTTGGCAGTATGGCCATACTCCTCAGTTTGTTTGGGACATCTGCTGTCTCAGTACAACTGGCACTACAAAATGGAACTTTAAAAGTTTGATTTTTTCCTTTAGAGACAAGCGGCTTCTCCAGACTTCCTCAGGCCTAGAACAGAAGCAGATACCTCCATCTCCTCAGCCCAGATGAATGCACAGAATGTGCAGATGCTGGCCCTAGTTTCCCTTCCACAAGAAAGGGGGCAATGAGCTAAAGATGGCTAGAAATGATGAAGCAAGTGTGGAGATCTGCATTACCCGTGTTCCCGTTCCCCTCTGTTCCTTACTCTTGCCCACCTGGTCATGAGGAGATGATGATTTGAGGCAAATGGGCCCCTCCAGCTCCTTGAAACTAGCTTTGAATAAATCCCCTTTCTTTTTTTTACAAACATAAATGGCATTTGATTTGGTCAGTGGCAAGCAA